ATTTTCAATCCCACAAAGAATTGTCATAGACACTGTCACTCCCCGAGCCTATACCCTGGATGTGGCCAGCACTCGAGAATCATTGTTGGCCCAAACGAACCCTTGGCCTGGCTCAACTCTTAGCGGAAGACTTACTCAATAATAAAGAAACCTCAAATATAACTCAACTCATAAAGACATCATTACTAAAATTAGTTTAGCTCAATATAGTCTGAAATGTTCAATAACATAATTGTTTAACTCAAGTCTTACACATTTAACAAAAGAAATGGAAAAGACTACTCAAAACACTACTATCTATAAAGCCTCTAATGACAATGATGGAGGTCGGGACAAGACCCATGACATCCTAACAAAAGTAAAAGTAAATGGGAATCCTCTGGAAGCAAGGTCAACCACCAAAGCAACTCTGGAACTGCACGTTGTATCAACTCTAGAACTTAATAAATAGCGCATTTTGAAATCTAGACTCTCAATTTTTTTTTTGGTGTATGCGGTGCGCCCACCCGGGCTGCTGGAAAAATGGCCTAGCGTGGTGCGCCCACGCTACCAGGCACGCGGAGCACACAGTCAATTTGACATCTCTCTAGTAAAATCAGATAACATTTTACTCAAGAGTCGGGTTGACGTGCAGTCAGTGACGTTGGAAAGAATTATTGTAGACCTTTAATTCGATAGGTCATGGGTCACCTAAATCTTACTATTCTGAGAGGTATGGTCGTTTGAAGTTGACCCTTGTAGGAACTCTAGTGAAAACATAGCTAATAGAAATGTTTTGAACTTGGCTTGGTGTTTGAGCTTCCTTACGACCCTGAACCATATCTGATATACTTACTAAACTTTGTAAAGGACTGTAATATATATGAAAAACTTAGAATTCATTAGGTTCAGACCTATACACATACAAAGGATGATTCGAATCTTCGCTTAGAAGTTGTTGGACGCTACATAGATTTTCCCGCATTTTTTTGGGTACTCAAAGAATTGTGACAGAGAGATGGAAAAAACTTCAATTCATGGCCGAAAGCAAATGACAAGTCCTCTGACATTTCTTGATGTAACACATGTCCCTCCACTTTTAATGCTCCAAGTACGTGTCTTCCTGTGATTAGTTAAAAATCATGGCCGACCATCCAGGCAATGCTGGCGTTTTTTTTCCCAAAATCTATATATGTTCTTCCATTTTCAATTTACTTCCTTCACACCTTCTCCTTATAACTCTCTTGTCATTCTTCCGACTTTCCAGTTTAACCTAAGTTTCATCAAAGATTACCACCTTCTTAACTATCCTTTTACTTCATTTGTCAAGAATCTACGACATAATTACAACTAATTGGGGAGGGTGGGGGAACAAAAACGACAATAGCAATTTGAAGGCACCAACCACAATTGAGGACGAGGATCATTGTTGGAGAATGAAGATGTTGGGTGAATCATTTTACAAATGACCCATGAATTTTTACAAATGCTCCGATTTAGATTTTTATCCAAAAATATTAACTCACTTAAGTTTTAAACTAAAAATTATTTTAGTTCTGCATAAATGGAAATATTTATTCATGTGGACATTTACTTGACATCTCTTGTTTTTTAAACACAATTAGAGAGTGCACACTACATACAATCATCTATTAAATGATGTGTGTTTTAATACATATATGGTTATAGTTATGGTAGAAAAAAGAACAACTGATAATGGAAGTGTGACTTTGACCATTTAACTTTATTTTTTTAAAATGTCTACTTTCACTTGTCGAATTTAAAAATCTAGAGATATTTTATCAATTAGTTCTTGGTAAATTGGACTTTCACCAACAAGATGACCAAAAGTTCATGTAATCAACCAACTTAACTATTAAGATTTGTTCCCTCTAGTCCATATTAAGTGAACTGTAATAAAAACAAATTTGTAGTTCAAAATAAGTGAATTTTCCAAAGTTCAAGATATTTGTTAATTGAATTTTTATTCTTCATATTTATCCTTTATTTTAATGATGTTGTTAACTACTTTACATTTTAGGAGAATAGTTTAGGAATAATAATAATTAAAAATAGCCTTTAATATTTGTCCTTAATAGTTTTCTTTAAGAGGAGTGTTATATCCCAACAATTTACTTAATATAGACTAGAGTAAGTACCATTCATTTCCCCAATATATTTGTCAAAATATTGAGTTAATTATATTCAAAAAATGATATAGTAAAATGAGGGAAAAGGTACAAGTACCCCTCCTCCCCCTAAACTATGACCGAAATCCCAGAGACACACCTTAAATAAACTAAGATCCTATAACCCCCCCCTCCCCCCAGCCCATTTTTTTTGTAAATTCATACACCTTTTTGGCTTACATGGAATCCAAATATCTCCCATGCGCCAAAATTGCGTGGAGTCACAGAGTGTTCCACGTAAGACAAAAGGTGTACAAAATTACAAAATAAAAGAGTTAAGGAGGGGGAGGGGTAATAGGACCTTAGTTTAGTTAAGGTGTCTCTCATAGATTTCGATCATAGGCAAGGAGGGTACTTATGCTTTATCCCAATAAAATTACTCTTTTATTTATTTCTCGTTAAGGAATTTGATAGGTGTGTACCAACTCAGACGTGGAGAGTATAAAAAAAATACTTATTACAGCCTTTGCATTTCATAAGGTTTTAGGGTTTTGACTTCCCTTTTTCCTTTGCTTTTGAATTTTCAATTTTTTCATCTTCGTCTAGAATTACCAGGAGACCGAGTTTATTCAAGTCCTTAATCTCCTCAGGTATATACCCAAATTCAATCAGAGTTTCCTATGTTAATTGATATACACGTCCTCACTATATGTGATAATGATTTATACTATGTTTTTTTTTCTTAAAGTAGGGTAGATATACTCATTTGTGTCGGAAGCATTTTTATTGTGTTTTATACTCTATGCTATTTAATGTTCTCCTTGATTGTATCGATGATATGAGAGTCACATCCATCACCCTTCGTGTCTAGCATTCCAGGAAGGCGTTGACCACCCAACTTGAAAAGGGCTACCTCTGAAAAAGTTGCCTACTTGTGGTATAGTGAATACTACCAAGTTTGGAGTGTCGAGGCTATCCCACATTAATAGCTAGCTTTTGCAGTGTGGAAGAATGGATATTTATAGTCCCCAAATTTTGTATAAGAAAGTTATTGTCTATATATATGGTCTTGGGAAATGGATAACTTTTGAGTTGAGTTAGGTGCAAATGTTCATTAATTTCTTTGTATGATAAAATGTAACTTGGAAGCAGAGTGTATCGGTTGCTATTTATAAATAGTTAATCTAGAGTTGGCAGATGGTTTAAACAGGAATCTCGGTGAAATTATAGTAATGGAAGAAGGAGATTCAAAATATAAACTTTGAGATAAATACTAGAATGTATACCTAAGATTTAAATATTTGATCTAAAACAGATTTTGAACCCCTGCCACTACACTAGTATCTTCCCTTATGTCAAAGGGGATTTAAAAATTTACATATAACTAGGAAGATTATGTTTTCCTTAATTACACAGTATAATTTTTTAACGAAGGGGATCAAATTAACAACATTACCAATACCTAGTTCCACCACTTAATAATAGTGCTAACTGCTAACTACCTATTCTAAATGGATTGTCTTCTATAAATAGTACTTAATAAGTTTAATAAAATATATAGGCTAAGTTGATTATTTTCTTCTAAAATTAGGAGGGAAGTAAATTCAATAATAGTGCTAACTGTTAACTAACACTTCTAAAAAATTAGGGGTAAAGTAAATTCAAAACATAACATTAATGGGTTGAAACCAAAAATGTGTTGTATAATTTTGGACAGAGATTGTTTGTGCATTTCTGGAAGGAGATTTGTTTTACTTTATTCTGCTTTTTGAAATCATGGGAACCTTAAATTTGTACCTACCGAAAGGAATTGAGACCATATTAGGAATGGCCTGTTGTGGGATCTACTTAAAAGAACCCTTCAAGGCCACAATTTATCTTATGCCACGAGTCATTGTTGGGTTTTAAAAGATGTAAATGAAATTGAAGAGTTGTGAGTTTTAGAAAGAGTTTTGACTTTCCTGAAGAGTTGCGACTTTTCTGAAGAATTGTGACTTTTCTGAAGAATTGTGACTTTTCTTAAGAGTTGTAAACTTTATGAAAAGTTACGAATTTTCCATAAGGTTGTGACTTTTCTGAAGGGTTGTGACCTTTCTGATAAGGCACAATAAGCAGTCATTCACACTACCTATTGTCTAGAAATAGAGGGGTTCCTCATATTTTTCAATAACTAAATTTTGAACTTCTTTCTTTGCTACTAAATCTAGTATTCTTAGTGTACTTTACTTTTGTTGAGTGGTTTCTTGACATCGTGGTTTTAAGTATCGATACATCGGTGAGTAAGATTATTCTGTTATGAGAGGATATATTCCATTAAACTTAGGTACTTGAGGGGACTAATTTCCTTAAGAAAACATTGTGCATTCAGTGGGCTCAATTTTCTTTTTTTGAGAAAATATTTTGTTTAATATTTTAAATTTGTTTCAGATTCTATTTTCTTTATTGATTTTAAGTTTATAGTTTTGAAAATATTCTTTAAATTTTGTTGTTTCTTACCAAGTTCTTGAAAATTATTGTTCTAAGTATCTTAGTAATAATTTCACACAAAAGGTGGCTTTGAACTTTAGGTATTTATGTCAAGCATGCTGCATTATACACAAACATTCTGGTGATCAACTTTGATGTTTCCTTGGGAGGAGAGTATTTTTGTATCTCATGCTGAAAGGTCTAACATTTATCTTCATCTGAAGCAAAACTTCTTTAGGTCAAAAATTAACTATCTTGTTTTCCCGAAGAATATGCCCAATTTTGGCTTTTCTCCTTTAGTTGGTTTTTTTCCAATTTTTTATAGCCAAAAATGGTTTGCTTTCTACTGTGGACTTCTGACATTTCTTTATTTTTCTATGGTTTCAGTCTTTCATGGTATCAATATAGTTAGAGATTTCCAGCTAAATGTATGCCAAGGAGGAGGTTGGGGAGAGCCGTGCACATGTTGTTTATAATGGGAATGCTTCTAGAATCAATGAAATTGGGCTTCAACTTTATCTAGTTTCTGAGTATGACTTTGGCGAAGGCTTACCATATGCTCTTGTAGATTGGCCAAATGCTGGTGATAAGTGGGGCTGGCAGGCAGGGAAAAAGAGTAACAAGTTCAGGTACCTTTAGAGATAGATATTTGTATCTTCCGAAGCATTTTAAGGCTCCAAAAGGTGGAAAGAAAAATCCTTTTCGAAGTAAGATTTCAGTTAAAGAGTATCTGCAGTCTGAGTATCCTGACATGGATATAAACCATTTTTTTTCCTTATTTAGTTGGATGATTCCTTCGAAGCAGTTGCCAAGCTTAAAAGGTTAGCTTCGACAGGTCTCTTTGGTATATAGCATGTAGATATTTATTCGGTTCTTTGCATCAATTAAAAAAAACACTTACTACATCTTTTTATTGACCTGATGCCAAATTTGTTTTCTTTTTAATTAGATATTGATTTTGACTCAGATATGAAAGAGATGACTACATCTTCAGGGATAGAATTGCAGTCTTTACTCTCTGATTCCCTTATAAGAGCCATTACTTTTAAGGTGGCTAAAAAAATTTGTAGCAGTTTAACAACAAAAAATCCTTTTCCGGCCATTCTTTGTGATATTTGTTGTATTGATCCTGGTTTTTTCCGAGACTGTTGTTGTATCCTTTGCCGCAACACTATCAGTTCAGACTATGATGGGTGCAATTACATTCGATGTGAGGCAAAAGTAGATGGCTACATATGTGGACATGTTTCCCATCTAGACTGTGCTCTATGAGCTTACATGGCTGGGATAGTTGGAGGAAGCATCAATTTGGATGCACAGTATTTATGTCGATACTGTGATTCAAGGATGGATTTGGTTCCACATGCTCTGAAGCTTTTAAACACCTGCACATCTGTTGCTTCTCGTGCTGACATCGAAAATATTTTGAATGTTGGCATTTGTATTTTGCGTGGCTCACAAAAAAGAAGTGGAAAAAAGTTGTTGCACCGTATTGAATCAATGAAGGCACAGGTATAGCTAATTGATAAGATGTACTTTTTTTCCTTATGATGATATCTTTTTTCCATTTGAGGTTTACAGTTACCAGAATGACCAATTTGATAATCATATCAGCTTACGAAAGGAGTCTGCATTCAAGATACATCCAAAAAGGAAAGCTGTGTAGATAGCACTGGTAACTTCTTTGTCTTCTCATTTTCTTGTTTGTGTTGATCTTTTACTTTGACTTGAATATTTGTATCTGAGCATGACAATTTAGTATGTGCAAATGTGGTTCTCTTTCTATAAGTATTGTTTATTTCAGGACACAAAAATATACATTTGTTGATTATTTCAAGTCAACTACCCTACAGTTTAGACGATTAGATAAAAAAACATATTATATAAGGTGTAAAGAGATAAAAGACACAATTGATACAAAGATTTTTATACTTGTTCAAATCACCGATGAGATGCCTAATCTTGTCCCCTTGGATTCCTTAGTCAATCCAATTAATTGTTGAGTATAAGATGATTAGATTATTATTTGAACAACTCTTACATGCCCCCGTAGCCTCCTGTTTATAAATGTAGTGCACAACACATCTATAAGCAAGACTCTACACAGACATGGCTTTGTAGACTCCCTAGGATGACTTGTTCCGATACCACTTTTGTCACACCTCAAATCCCATTAAGACGGACAGGCACCCGATGCCCTAAAGGCCCGAGAGAACCAACATGTAACATGTACGTACTATGCATATAACCATGACAATCTTGTGACAAGTTCACATAAGATGGAGCGATACAAACCAACATAAGTAGACCTAAAACTTATATACAAGACTTGGTCGTTGAGGCGACAACTTGTTAAGACGCAACTGAACCATATACATATGTCTACAAAGCCTCTAAAATATAGAAAACCTTAGAGTAGGTCGAGATAGACCCCGCCTTACCCTTAACTACGATACAATACCAAAATGAATCTACCAGGGACTCAGTAAAGCTCCGAATCAATCTGGAGCTCACCAAAAGAAGTTGAGTGTCGTGTGCTTCTACTGAAGAAGTTTATTAGCTGAAGTACATGTGCCTGCAGCATGAAATGCAGCGTCCCCCGCGAGGGACGTTAGTATAAGAAAATGTACTAAATATGTAAGGCAATAACATATATAAAATAAGAGTTCGAATGAAACCAAGTATCAATATATGTGTGCATAAATCAGAACAGAAGACCACCTTTGTTCACTCTTCTGGGATCATGTATGTTACATTCTTGTCTTTACCTTTCTGTGTGTTATGATCTTTATAAGGCATGTGATACGAATAGCCAGCTGATCAGTGGTAGAAGAAGATGACCCATGCTAGGCATTTTAACCCCTAGGATGCGGTCCTTATAATTACGAAAATTGGGATAGGCCCTTGCTAGGCTTTCTCCCCTGAGCTGCCACCTTTCAATACCAATTGGGATTGGCCCATGCTAGGCTTTCGCCCCTGAGCTGCCACCCTTAATTATTCAGATTGCTTCACTTAGATTCCTTAATCTTTAAGATTGTTGTTTTGGTGGTCATAATCATTTTTGATATTAGGAACTACGGACCAGTAGTAGAAGACATGAAAATAATACTTCAAGGCAGTAACAATGACATAAGGAGCTATGTAACATCAATGCATTACTTGTGAGCTTAAATGATACAATTCACTTCAATTGAGTAAGAGGAGGATTCACCAAACTTCCTTTTGCAAATACCATTTCTATACCAGCACATAGGAGGAAAATTACACACGTATAGAGTAGTGAACATATAATGATGTAATTATATACACTAGGGAGAGGGGGAAATATTGTTAGCTATTTGGAGATCGTACGCTGCCACTATTTTTCCTTTACTAGGAATATAACTTAGGAAATTCACTAATTAATATTAATTGCAAGTATCAGATTTCATGATGAAGAATATTGAATCGAATAGCCTTACATACCTTATTCTCTGACCAATACAAATATCACGATTCAGCCTCCCCTTTCAGGTTTCAATCTACAATATAAGCCATGAAAGCCTAAAATTAGCAGCTATCACACCGTGAGTCTCATAATCCAGTATCTAACTTGACAGATAATGAGCCCATACAGCCCTCAAAATAATGGGTATCACCATATCCTCCTTCTCTGTCCAATACATACATTATATATCCTTTTCCAAGATTACCCAAGCTGCACCAACAATAATACACATAAAACAGCCTCAAATATTCTTTATCATACAACTAATTATTGAACTCACCACCCCCTTGAGTTCTTTATGACAGTACACCCATAATTCCTCACTCAAACTCATACATAAGGAGGAAGAAAATGGAGCAGTCACATTACCTCAATTTCTGGAACTTCTCATTCTAACTTGAATTCCTCTAGAACTTCAACTTCCCTTCACACTTAAACCAAAGAAGAAGAGAAAAGTATCTTAATAACCAAGGAAGTGAGCAGTAGCTTCTGGAAATAGTATGCCTTTATGATTTTACTTGAGCATGAATAACATGTTTTCCTAATCATCCATGGGAGAATTAAGCTAAATCCATAAGTGTTTTCACTTACTTTGTCTTGCAGAGATAAGGGTTTCTTCAAGAACCCTAGAAGAGCTTTAAGGCTGTTGTTTTAATCCTTAAGAGAAAAGAGAGAGAGAGTGCTGGAGTTAATCCTCAATATTGCGTGTTAAAATGAGTGAGAATAGCAACCAATATATCTTATATTGAGCTTTCTTCACCTTTAAGAATATCCTCTAGAAAGCTTCATTTCCAACCACTAATTGGTCAAGTAGGTGATGCACCTACTTATGTACATCAAGCAACTCAAAAGGTCAAACTAGGTGATGCACCTACTTGCTTTCACTTGGGCTTAAATATTGGGCCTTGACAGATTTGGCTGCTGGGCTAAAATTTCATTTTCCTTTTATTTAACTTAGTTTGGGCCTCAAGTGAGTCCATTAGCATAGGCCCAAATCTAATCCATAAGGCTTGTCATTTTTAACTAGATCAACATAGCTCAAGTAGGTGACACATCTACTTAGTCCTTTGGACTGGTCAATAAGTCAAAGTAGGTGATGCACCTACTTGTCACCTGCTAGCTTAGTTAAGTCAAGCAAGCAACTCACTTATTTTATTCCATTTTCTAAATATTAATCCCCTTTGCTTTAACTTAGCACTTAACTTTCAACTTTAAGCTCAATTACCACCTTATTGTCTCTTTAAATACTCATGTTGGAGTTAACTTGCAGTACACATGCTGAAACGTGCAAGGCATCACATCACCTTACGATCTAGTTTAAACCAACACTAATAATATTAGAATCATGGTCCCTCACCTATACTATAAGGCTATGTCAAGTATCACAAGAATATAACAAACATATGCGTAATACGGGCTGTTACAAAGATGTTGACCAGCCAAATCATGTGCTAAAGCTAGACAAAGCACTAAATGGTCTGAAGTAGGCACCCAAGGCCTGGTATAAGCGATTGTCAAAATTTCTTCTTGAAAATGGGTTCAAAAGAGGAAAAATTGACAACACATTGTTCTTAAAGTCAAGAGGAAAGGAGCTCCTGGTAGAGCAAGTCTACGTAGATGATATCATCTTTGGAACTACTACAAATCCTTTGTGCAAAGAGTTTACAGCCTTGATGAGCAGTGAATTTGAAATGATCATGATGGGGGAACTAACCTTTTTCTTAGAGTTGCAAATCAAACAGTCTCCCCAGGGTACGTCAATCTATCAGGAGAAGTACATAAAGGAATTGCTCAAGAAGTTCAGTATGAAAGAGGCCAAAATTATTCATACCCCAATGAGAACTAATGCAAAACTGGATAAAGATGAAGTTGGCACTGATGTGAATCAAACTATGTATAGGGTAATAATTGGATCTTTTCTCTACCTCACTGCAAGTCGACCTGATATGATCTTCAGCGTGGGAATGTGTGACAGGTTTCAAGCTACTCCAAAAGAGTCACACCTGAAGGTAGCCAAGTGAATACAGAGATACTTGAAAGGAACAAAGGACCTGGTCCTTTTCTATCTTGCTGACAATTCTTTTGATCTAATTGGGTATATGATGTTGATTATGCAGGGTTTTTTATTGATCAAAAAAGCACTTCAAGCATGGATCATTTTCTAGGGTCATCACTAATCTCATAGGGAACTAAGAAGCACAATCCAATAGCTTTATACGCTGCTGCATCATGTTGTGCTCAACTCTTGTAGATCAAACATTAGCGCAAAGAATTTTGTGTTCTCACAGATTATATTCCTCTCATATACGACAATACAAGCGCAATGAATATGGCTAAGAATCTTGTCCAACATAAGAAGACCAAACACATAGATGTGAGGCATCACTTTCTTAGAGACAATGTTGAAAAGATGAATTTGGTGATGAGATACTGTAAAGACGGAAGATCAAGTGGCTGATATCTTCACCAAGGCATTGGGCAAGGAACATTTAATCAAGAACATATTGAGTTTGGGGATGCAAAAGATCACCTGATTTCACAACAAGTTTTGCATGAAGCCACTCACATGACTATGCTAGGGAGGGCAGGTATCTATACTTGTTGTATTGCTTAACTCTTATGAATTCACATCTGGTACCTTAGTGTAGGTACACACTCATGGCATGTTGTCTAAAGGGAATAGCTAACCATAACAGGGAGGGCTATCTATAGAGAGGGACTTGGTCCCCCAGAAGGTTAGTATCACTTTTACTACACAGTTTTTTGTCAACGGTCACTGCCACGTGTCTTCTCCCTATTCCTTGTGTCAGTTGCAGATGTCTTTTCAGTTTAAAAGCCAAGAGTCGCTATTGTTCAGGACCCGATACCTTGTTAAATACACCCTTTTGAGAGAATTCAACAACCACAAATTCTTTTCAAATTCTCTCATTGTTCGTCAACCGTCGTCTTCTTGTATTTTGAGAAAATGTCGAACTTTTCTTCTCCCTCAAAATATCCTCTCTCCCAAGAGATTGAAAACCCCAATTCATTCAATTTCTCAATTCCACTTCCTGAAGGATCTCCGTCCACATTAGTTTTGGGGTTGGTCAGACTGATGAATCTATCACATCCCACAATGAAGTGTTAGTATCTCCTGTAATCAACCCTGGGGAAATCTTACCTTGTTCTCCAACTCTGGTTCTATTAGACAAATATTCTCAAAATTTTGAGGCCCAGTCGGTTGTGAAGCCTACCCTTAAGACACCCACTAAAGATCTAGAAGTTGTGTCTCAACCAGGGGATGTGTTATCTACCATGTCTGAAAGGTTGTTTGAAGGTGATTTGCCTGAGGGTAAAGGTATGGAATCTAACATACTAGCAACAGCTGAGGAATTGGTGGTTGTACAAAGTCTGGCCTCTCTCAGAAGGGATACTCAGCCAACGCTCTTAGAACAAGAATGCAGATCGCCTGAACGGGTCCATCATAGTGTTCAACCAGTGTTTGACCAAACCCTTGAAACCATAGGGTTTACCAGTGAAGAAGAGGATGAAGAAGAAACTCCTCTAGTTTGGTCTAGAAAAGGGGTTCGAGGAGAGAATGCTTCAACCACGGTTATCCCAAATCTTGGAGAAACTGAAGTTGTACCTGAGACTAGAATTGAGAATGAGCATACTGAGTCAGAAAAGAAAAGAAAAAGGAAAGGGAAAAGAAAAATGGTGGAATCTCCCACCAAAGCAGACAGAAAGAGATACACAACAAGAGGGGTGGTACAAAAATTACTTGGAGATGCTCTGGTGGCAAACGAGGTACAAATAGAGAGAAATTGAAGACGAAGAACGCTTCTTTGTGTGCCCAGTGAGAAACCTATATCAATGCCTCAAAATATAGGCTCAAGTGAAACAGAGTCTGAACATATTATTAGAACAGTGGTGAAACGGAAGAAGGAGGCAGAAAAGGAACGATTCAAAGCCAAATGAGTTCCTAAGTATGTAAAGAAATCACTCGTAAAAGGAGATAGGGTGACAAAAAGGGCCTAGGTCTGACCGCCTAGAAGCTAGTTGAAGGAAAGGTGTTGACAAGGGAAAACCGTGTTGCAGAAATGGAAAAATAAAAGGTTCTGAACGAAAGGGTGTTTGATCCTGACATCCTCACAGAGCCTGGTATGTGTAACCTTTTTGACTTTGTCTCTCTGCAAAATTGGGAACACTTGTTTGAATGTCATGTACCACAACTGCATGAACCTGAGGGGCGAAAGTTCTTTTACAAAATGAAACTCTTTGAAGATGGAGGCATTCAAACGATGGTGCATGAAGTGAAAATCTCCCTGTGTGAAGAGAATTTGGGAATCATACTGGAGTTCCCACTGAAGGGATCTGGTCCATTGAAGGGTGCAAACCTTCTGTTGATTTTGTTCGCATGGCTACCAAACATGGGGACATGAAATGTGCAGGTCTTCCAAAGAAGTTCCTCAAAGGAGAATACCAGTTGTTTTCCGAGTTTGTTAACAAGGTCCTGGTGCCCAGAACTGAGAAGAGGATTATGGCTTCTGCAGCTAATCTATTTCTAATGGAGCAATTGGATGAACTAAAAGTTGTAAGTCTTCCTGGCATTATGCTTGAACACATGCATAGAGTTATGACTTGGATAAATTCCAAACATGGCATACCCTATGGGTATCTTTTGAATCATGTGTTTGAACATTTCGGAGTGCCCCTTGGCATGGGAGTTTCTAGTATTCTAAAAAACAAATGTTCTCTCAGACCATACTTTTGGAGTGCGAGTGTGCGGAGGGAAAAATCAATGCTAAGTCCCATGTGTCTGACCTTCTTGAGCAACAGGAGTCCCTCAACCGTGAGCTAAATAACTTCACAGTAACCTTGAGTGCTAAAGAGGTATAAATTGCATGACTTAAGGTACAACTTTAATAGACTATTTCACAGGGACCTGCTACCAGTACTACAGATAAAGAGGAAGTAGAATAGTTAAGAGATGAGAATGCCCAGCTGCTGAAGACAAATGCCTCACTCAGTGAGGAAGTTCAGGCTCTTAACAAGAAAATCATTCAGGCGCACGTCGATGCTAATAATCACATGATCCTGTTGTTATAGTCCTTCATTCCCCGTCCCATTCTGTCATAAATGAGTCTACTGTCCAAATTTCGTATGTCTTTCAGTGTCTAAGTTGTTTCCACTATTTTTATATTGTGGAAAAGTGTATTGTCTTTGGCCGAACTTTGTGGTCAGCATAAGTGATCTAATGATATCATATTTTTTTGCCCTTCTTAGTATGCTTTTATCTTCTCTATTTTTGCTTACTAGCGCAAGTACTGTGTGTCCCATGGACCTGAGTTCCTATTGTTTTGCATGCAGCTCATATATGTTTATTGTCATTCCTTTTCAATGATGTGAAAAGGGGGAGTTGATATGTAAACTCTGTGTGAATTAGAGTACAGTGATAAGGGGGATATTGATAGGGGGAACTGATACTTTCAATGAATGAGTTACTTAGAATGAATGTGAACTCATGTGAGGCAGTTTATTTGTCATCATAAAAAATGGGGAAAATGATAAGTCTTACTGTTTCCGGATGTTTTGATGATCCTCACAAATGTAGGGACCCGATCCTGTGTAGAGTGCTCCATCTAGGGCAATATGTTATACAATTGGAAAGTTATTTTGTCAGAGGTTGGTGAGGTTGTCAGTGTACTGAACCAATAAGCATGGGCGAGGTTGTTTGTCCAACGGTTAATAATTCTTTATGGTTGATATAATCAACATGACAAACAACATATCAACTCATTCATTCAAATAGAGAAAATTCAATCTTCAACAAAACAACAAGGGACCTCATAGACTGAAGATTTGCTTCTTGAACCTGTTGTTATTTTGATTGCTTGTATTTGTGTTTAACTTGTAAGATTCGTTTCACTTCTATTAGAAACATTTCAAAACCTTGTGTGAATCATTGTAAGAACATAGTTGAGGGCAACTTTGTGTCTTACGGTCAAAAGTCTATATTAATTGATGAGGGTTAGTATAGTGGGCAATGCAGGCATTGCTTAGGCTCGTTAAGTAATAGGTTATATTACTTAGTATTGAGATTAGGAGGTTAATCTCATTGTGTGGTTGTAAAATGTGTTTTGTTCTTGCTTGAGAAGATTAGTGAAAACAATTTGAAAACCCTGTGAGTTAGGTCGTGATTTATTCCCTTGAGCAAGGAGGTTTCCACATAAGTATTGTATGTTCTTTTTAATTTTTGTATTTACTTTTGTGCATCATAACTGTCTAAAGGACCCAGTGCCATAGTAGTTAGTGGACGCAAACATTCCAACAAGTGGTATTATAGCTGCGACTTCTCTATCTGGTTAACACCAAGAGAAGAAAGATCTTGAAAGAATGACTGCTCCACCAAGTCTAGAGGAATGACAGTCTACCACCCGTCCACCCTGCTTCAACGGACAATTCTATGGATGGTGGAAGACACGATTTTATGATTACATCAATGCATAAGACACTGAGTTGTGGGATGTGATTCTTGATGGACCATACATTCCTACCAAGGACGGAAAGAACGAGAACTTACGAAGGTTATTCCAAAGACCAGAAGAAAATTTAATGAGGCTGATCGGAAAAAATTATAGAAGAACTATAAAGCAAAGAAGCTGCTAGTTTGTGGGATCGGTCCAAATTAGTACAACAGGATCTCAGCTTGCGAGACTGCAAAAGAAACTTGGGATTGTTTAAAAACATCCCACTAAGGAACCACCCAAGTCAAGGAGTCTAAAGTAGACATGTTGACAACCCAGTACGAGAACTTCAACATGAAAAAAGGTGAAACCATTCATGGGATGCATACAAGGTTCACTTCCATCACAAATGAACTAAGATGCCTTGGTGAACCCATTCACCCAAGAAAACTGTAACGATCTGATTCCATCGATATGAAAAAGCCAATGGGGAAAGAATTGGGGCTAGAAAACTTTTTAGTAGTATTTGGATTTTCCCAACCTAGTCCAAATTTCGACGAAATTGGAGTCATTAAGGTGTAGGGAAATCTGGTAACAATCGGGTATCTATTTATGATTTTTATTACATGAGTAGTTAGATAACTCATTGAGGAACCCGTACACCTTTACGGAATTCAATTTGGGTGAGTAGGACACCCGAAATCGTTCTTAGCGTAAAGGGCATTTTCTGAGCGTCGTTGGTTAGAGCTGTGCTGTGAAATGGTGTCTTGGATTTTTCAAAATAGCTCACTAGTTCTGTGCAAGCCGCTGGGGCGGGATTTCTGCCGCGAGGGCTGGGCCGTTGTAGCGGTGTGAGGACTGTTATGGCGGGAAAGATACGACTTAAGTCAGAAATAAAACCCCAAAAATGTTTTATTTTGCACTTTTTGATTTTGAGAGCTAGAAGACGAACCCGTACGAGATCTTGACCATTTTTCACCATTCATGAGGCTAAAGGTAAGGTTTTCACTCTCCGAATATATATTTCGATCCATAGAACTTACTTTCTTGGGTATTTATCGATGGGGGAGGGTTTTGATCTGGAATTTATGGTGAAAAAAGCCCTAAATTGAGTATTAGGATCTTGAGTTTGGTTTAGGGTTATTGGGTTTGTTATAATCCAGATAATTAGACCTTTGATTGTTGATCCTTGCATTAATTGTATATTTTTAGACCATGAACAAGAGATAAGAATCTGGAAAGGAAGATTCAAGTTCCTTAGGCGATTTAAGCCTGGATTTCGAGATAGGTGATGGTTGCGATTTCATGTTGGTTTGATATATGTTTGTAATTGCTTCATTATAATGCAGGTATGTATGTGAATTTTGTATTAGTGATCACCCAAATCGTAAATGAGGATAATTGTATGCCATGAATCACCTTTTGTTGTATGATTTTGAGAATATACATTGTGATTATGGTTTGTTGAATGAGCAGGTGTCACGATCCGACACACTAACTGGGATCGGTTGCCATGTTCCGGCAAAAATATGGGATCGGTTGGCACGTTCCGGCATAAACATTGGATGGGTTACCACGTTCTGGTATGCTAACAGTTTGGGTATGGGTTCCATGAGAGGATCATTGAATTAGGTTGCGTGAGAGGACCATTGAATTGTGTTGTGTATCTACTTGTGATGATTATGTTCATATCTAATGATGATTGATATTGGAAGATTGTATGTTGCTCTAAATTGATAACCAATGTGTATTATTGAGAATGTGGATGCTACTTTGATCCTGAAAATATCACTAATATTGTATATGTTCGGTGTATGCCTGTTTTATAATGTTGTGGTTACTTGCATGTGTTTCACTTATTGGGATAGCCGCGTGATCCTACCAGTACACTGTGGTTATGTATTGATTCTACACGTGCTCTTTCTTTGTTGAGTACAGGGCATCTTCATGTGGCTACTGATAGATCTTAGCGAGGTGACTATTAAGCGTGACCGGATTCAAAGGTGAGCCAGTTCTTTCAGGCTGCCATGGATCTTCCTTGTTTAGTCCACTCTTTCCGGACTTAGACATTTGTTCTAGTTAGTTGATTAGTTCATTAGTTTGGGGTTGTATTTCTTCTTGTTTAGACTTGGTTCATTGTTAGATGTTTTGGTACATTGACTTTCAGAATCTAGGTTATTCTTCCGCATTGTTAGTTTATCATTGTTACACTTTTGTTAGAGTTTATGGGAACTCTATTTTCCTTTCCTTAGTATTTCACTTTGCCTTAGTTATTGCTTTAGTTGTTTGGTTTGGGTTGTAGTAGTGGTTCTCCCACCGGAGTGTTAGTGTGTGTGCCAATCACGACGGTCTAGGTTGTAA